TAGTAGGTGCCATACTCTTGCATGCGATTCAAGTTGTAACTCTCCAGCTCAAAGCCTTCTATCTGGTCACTCCTTTGTGCCACCATTTGGCTCTCCTTGGTACGTCCTCTCAAAACATCAATGTAGTAAGCCTCTTCATCATCGGAGTACGAAGAGTTTTTGCTCACTCTCAGAAACATCGCTACAGCCAGAAGGCGAAATTTGTGACGCAGACGAACAGGACGAGGATGCATGTCACCTGATCTCGCCTGAGAGAAAAGATTCTTACAAGGACTGGACCCGAAACGACTAGGAAGGAAATATTCCAGTTTTCCAGAAAGAACGTATTCTTCATGGAATTTTAACGTGGTCATCGTGGCCAGTTCAATTCCACGTTGGATGGGTTTGCGTTGAGGATCTTTACTGAATCTCAATGCCGTGATCAAATCCGTGAATTCCGTCAACTTCTTCCTCTTAACTACGCTCGCTTCATCAGCACTAAGAGCTTCACTCTTGTGTCATGCAGACATGATAGAGTACCACTCATGAACCTTGAGAATGAACCATCCTGTAGTCTCTGCTTCTCGAGGAATGGTAGATTTGTCGTCCCTAGCCAGAAAAATCAAACTCATTCCAACTTCCTTGGAGAAAACGTCTCGGGCAAGTCTCACGTTCATTTTATTGAATTTCCCAGGCTGTACGTGTTCTAGCTTCAATTTATAAGCGACTGTGATTCCTCCACGTCCATAATTATTTCCCTCAGCTAGCTTCTGCACATGTTTCATGGATATTATCGGCGCGGGCAGGGAATTGGCAAGTTGAATTTCTGAAGAAATGTAGAAATCCGTCCTTTCCAATTGACACCACATATTTTTTAATAAGTGTTCACGATCAGGGGAGATGTACAATCTCTCCGTCTCGGAAAGGATGAGAGAATGAAGATGTACATTGTCCTTTGATGCTGTGAACACCTTGAGCATTCCACAAAGCCTGATTTCCTGGCCCTGAATCTGATGACAAGCAGACAACATGGATTCCGGCATGTTCCATAAGACGAATGATTTCCCGTAGAAATTCCCACAATTTTGTGCAATCGATAGATGATCCTGTCAACGCATAAGCAATGGGCTGCTTCCAATGCGATGACACGCCACGACCCACAACTGCCAAAACATGATCCGCTTGTTCAGAAGCTTCTTTCTCGTTTCGCGCCAACTCAGGAGAGACCAAACCGATGAATTTCTTCAAACCACGATCGTATTCCACACAAGGATGAATAGACATTTCATCGATGCTAATAACACAGAGGTGTGCGTTGGGAGTTTTATCTTGAGCTATTTTTTCTCCAAGCCAGTTGATTATCTCGGGTGTGATTCCAGGCTCAAATGTGATGTGTGAAATTCTCTGGAATATTGTGGAATACGCAGGTACAGGCCAATGTTCTTCCAGTCGCAGATATTCATAACCAGCCGCGTGAACTTGACATATCATCCGAACACCTTTCCTAATTGTTTCCTCAGACCAACGTCTCGTGTTCTGAGATGGATCTTCCAGTTGCAATAGCAACAGTTGATCATCGTTCAGAAACTTCTTCAAGTTCGTTGTCAAGTTCTCAATTTTTTTCTCACTATCACGGATCTGTATACAAAGTGGAAAAGGAAAATTCATCAATGGATTGCATTGCTATTCGTCTTTCCTTCATTATGCCCTCCTGAACATTTCACTTGGGTTGAAGATTATTTCACCCGTCCCTCCCGTTTGACCCCTGGACTGCGCATGCACGAAACGATACAAGAATTAAAGGGCCATCATGAATCGAGCAGAATAATCAGAAGGTTCCCTCCTGTTGCGTTGGAAGGACAGAGTCATAAGGATCATAAATTTTTACAATAGTATCCCCAAAGAGACCCTCGTAACGGTTGACCCTCCCCTAGTGACCTTCGTGATGCTTGACCCTCCCTCTAGTGACCCTCGTGATGTCCGACCGTCCGCCGAGTGACCCTTGTGACATTTGATCCTCCCCCTAGTTACCCTCGTGATGCTTGACAAAAAAAAATTATTATTATTATTTGTGTGAAGATCCACTTTACCCCAGGGGTCCGCTTTACCCCTACCTTCCCTATAACATGTAATATACATTTTTTTACATGTGAGAGGTTTTAAGGGCACGTAAAATACCTGTATAATACGTCAAGAACGTATAAAATGCATTGTACGGACGCAAGGATCAGGAAGGGAAGGTCAAGCGTTATGAGGCTTACGAAGGAAAAAATTAAATTTCACTTGGGTCAAACTTCACGAGACATTTGAAATTTCATTTTGCCCTCGTGGCCCTTGTGATGTTTGATCCTTGTGAAATTCAATTTTTTTCTCCTTGCCCTCGTAAGTCCTCGGACATTTGACCCTCGTGAAATTTAATTTTTCCTTTGTAGCCCTCGTGAGCCTCGTTTGACCCTCATGTCCTTGAAATTTGGACCTTCCCTATGACACGTATGTAACGTTTTATACTTCTAAAAAAGTGACGTGGTATAATTCGTGTAAAATACTAGGTATTTTATGTACAGTATTTTACGTGCCCACTCCTAGTTGAGATAAATTTTTTCGTAACCGTGTGGCCCTCTCGAATTAAGACCCTAGCGATATTTGGCTCTCAATATCAATATCAGAAGGTATGACCCTGGCAAAGTTAGACGTTCTCAAGGTAAGACCCTTGCGAAGCACAATTTTGGCTTTATGAGACCCTGATGGTCTTGCCTAAGTTCTCGCCAGGAGTCTCGCTCTAGAAAAAGCTGTCTCTCAGGATCGACTCAATTAGGCTTGAACGGTATTGTGCGCAGTCTAATGTCATCTCTCCCATTTGACCATCACGATCATTTCGTCCATCAATAAAATTAGAGTAAGAGACGTTTCCTGTTTTTTCTTAATTTTTGCAAAATCAAGTGAGTTAATTTTCTACTATTTTTTAGCAAGATGGGGAAATGGGAGGAGAGATGTCTACGAAATTGTCCCACATTCCATCAGTAATATCTTGAATGATACCTTTTTTTGAGCTGCTGCCAGCTATCGCTTCAATTCCTCAACTTCCTGACTCAATCGTTCATTTTTAAGGGCCAGGGCAGCATCATTCCCATGGTTCTGAGCTGGAGGAATACATTGAATATCCTCAGCATCAACAACCATTTCATCAACTGCCAGGACAGTTGCAGGTGATGTTGACATGCCTACTTCCATCGCAGCCTCATCGTGGTTGGGACCTTGAGTTGGGACTGCTGGGAAAGAATATGTTTTGTAAAAATATTTTCTCGAATTTTTTCATATACCTGTCCTCCTTGGGGGTCTCTTCGTGAAAATACTCGGTACAGCATCCGCCTTCAGTACCTCCTTGTTATTCCTCCACTCCCACTGATCATTATCGAAGTGTCCCTGTTGTTAAACAATGAGCAATCGAATGAAATTGAGTGAATTATTAGAATATTTTTCACTTACGCACCTCACAAAAATAACAATCTTTCTTTGATACTTGATCACTTGGTAACAAATCATCGCCTTTTTCCAGCCATTCTCGTCTCTTCTTACTTTTTTTCTCACTGGAAAGAGAGAAAAAACGATAATTATTCTTCGAAGATGTTTTACAATTTTTAATTGCACACGATTTGACCATTTTGCCTGCAGAAACTCGCACAGATCATTTATATCTATTGGAGTACGTTTTGGAGCAGACGAAAACAAAGAACTTTCGGCAGCTCGTATCATAACATCCGTCAACCCGCGAAAAAAGAAAAATTTTTCGTCTTTGGCAGAAACTCATTTTCATTTTATTTTTGGTGTTATTATAACGAAAAATGATTTCTAAATCTATTTTAGTCATTATTTTTCGAGAAATATGGAGATATTCGTAATGAAAAACAAATAGGATATGGTTTGATATGCCAAATGGGACATGGGCTGCTCAAAAAACAATACGTGCATAACAAAAATTTTTACAGCAATTTTTTTTATTTTTTATTTCAATTTACAAAACATAATCGCCTTCGGCTCGCATTATAAAGCCACATTCGTCATATAATACTTTCATCGCCTGATGACATAATATACTATTACATTCCTTCAATCCATTTTACTGAAAACATAAATTTCATAACGTTCCCTCCAGCAAAATAACTGCCAGTGGTGGGAGGCTAAAGGAGATGAGGGGAAGCGTAGGTCGACCGGAACGCCGCTTCTGGCGCTCCGGCGAACTTGTCCCCTGTTTTCTGGCTTCATCATACCTGTTTGTATCATACCTTAGTCCGGCGGGTCCGAGCATGCGGGGACGCTCGATGATGTCGGAGTCTAACCGACGCCACAAGTGTGTGAATCGTTTGCAACTGCAAGTCAATCATTTGACAAGTCATCCTGACTTTATCGTTGTCATAATGGACAAAAATAATCATCCGAAAGGAACCATCGATCAATCAATCGTTTTCGTTCACAAACTATAGTGACGAAAAAACCTAAAAGCTATCAATCAAAAATCTTGAACTAAGACACGAAATCCAACGGTTTCGTGTCACATGTGGCACCGAAGCCACGATATCGAAGTCGTGATTATTAAATTCCGCAATCCTAACTTATTCCATCTGAACATTCAGTGTGGGATTTATCCTATCATTATCTATTAGTGCGCGTGTGTGTCTACATATTCAGTCGACAGTTCGCCTTATGCGTTCCTAGACAAACATTGGTGTGTGGATGCATGTGTGTGTGTGAATACCATCATTCGCAGTTAATCGTTTAAATCTTGTATCGAAGTAAATATATCTGGGTTTTTTATGCTTCGGGTTTTTCCCAAGAATTGTGTTTTTGTGTCAGTCATTTGTTCCATATTTTTTATCATTTATTTTTCTGATTTTTTAATGCAGCTACCATACCACCTAGGGTATGATAGCCTTCAACGTCTTTTCAACTTTATTTTGATTCTTTGGAAAATGATAAAATTGATTGGGAATGAATTTATATACAATATTTTTATTTTTCACTAGGACCAAACCGAAGAACCCACTCCGGGCGCCAAAATACACAGAACTGTGGTTGACAAACAATTTCATTGAGATCAAGACTGGATCTCCAGTTGCTACTGTTGCTACAAAATGCAATGTTCTCAGAACTATTCTAAGGTACAAGAGAATGGATGGGAGATGGATCGCATCAAAGTCTTTTTGATTCATGGAGGAAACTGAAGGGAACTGAAAATGCGCCACAGATACCAAAAAAAACTGAAGAATAATTTTATTTATTGTTTCCTATTAAGTATAACCTATGAAGGGAAGTTTTGTAATAGTTTACTGAATAAATAATGATTTCATCCTTTCACAATGATTGAATGTGATTTAATAATGTAGTGGCACTAACTGGCCCTTCGTCATGGCAGAAACGGGCACAAGCCGTTTTGACGGTGGCATAAACTGGCGCACGCGGATCTTTTGTTCAAACTTCAATTTAAATCAATTTTTCTATATTTAGGGATGAATAATATGTTGAATTCAAAGAAAAAATTATAAACTTGCCCCTGAGTCAACAGGATTTCACCTAGCGTTGAAAATATACATAACCTACGTATTATACTAGCGGACACGGCTTTAGGTGGCATTAACGAACCCACGACCTCACAACTACTAATCCGACGCGCTAACGACTAGCCTACCGCGCAATTCGTAAAACCTCTACTTTAAATCGTCCATATTAATTCCATCTCGGTTTTTTTTCACTTGAACGTTTTATTATTCATTTGATAGAGATATTAAATGATTCAACTATAGTTTGATCGGGAAATTAATTCAGTAATGAATAACAAGAATAATTATTATTAATTAAAATAATAATTGTAAAAATGAAGATTAATGTTGAATGACGATTCTTCTTCTTTTCGTACTAATTAGCGAATAACATGTGAATTCAATACGTACAATATCACCATTTTTTTACGATTACACCCTTAAAATTTTACCGTCAAGATTTTCCCCTTACCGTTCAATCCTCACAATGTTAGCCTTATAATTTTTTCGCCTTACAATATTACTCTTCAGATATTACCCTTATGATTCCAGTCTCATCATCTTACCCTTCCGACTTAACCCTTACAATTACAGCAACGGCTGAAGCCCAATGACCACGTTCCGGGCCGCCGCTGGCTGGGGCTTGGTTATCGAGCTCCGGCATGCCAATGTTCGGCCAAGACTAGGCCAGATCTGTCAACCAAGGCTTGGTCACCCGCCCTTCCCGCGAGGGTCAAGTCTTAGTCCCCAGGCATGGCCGAACCTCGGTCCAAGCTTGGCCGCCCAGACCTGGCAACCCCAGGCTTGTGCCAGACTTGGTCCGTTTTTCCAACACTAACATTTCCTACCTGGGATGTTAATCAATCTCCGGCGAGTTCTAATCTCACCTGTATTTACCACATCATTGACTAGTGAAAATAACTGCACAGGGTATCCTATTAGAAACATTACCGATTAATGTGTCTTGTAGGAAGGAAAGAATAACAAAATAGTTGTATTAAAAGTTGCAAGTTCGAGGAAGGATACTCAACGGTAATGGGATGAAAAGTTCGCACTTTTTATATCTCAATATTATTAAAATCCAAATCGACTTCTAGAGATGAAAATTTGGTACTCGAAATTAGGAGTCCAAACTTAAGGATCAAAAATGAAGATTTACAAGGGTTAAAGTACCGGTTACGAGGGTCGGAATGGACACGCGGGTCATGTGGGGGTTATATGAGGGTGCATATGGGGATCAAATAATGGTAATAAATGAGAAAAAATGAGAAATTGAGAGTGGTTGTCCCTCACTATAAGAAAGGCGTTAGGTGGAGCCTTTCTTGTGAGTACGATGGTGATTAAATGCTGAACGTAAATTGTACAGAGCGTGATATTTTCCTATTTTTCCATTTCTTAGGTGAACCGAGTCTGTTGAGAATGACTACCACTGATATCAGTTACATAACACCTGTCAAACATACAACCTGAACATACCCAACGAGACGGGGGGAGGGCGAAGCCCTCTCGAATTGGGCGAGCGTAGCCAGCAACGAACGAAGCTCCCTAGTTTCCATACTAAAAGAATAAAGTTTTTTTTGGTTTGCCACAAGTTATCCATCTCTTTGATTTTAATCGTATCATATTCTGTAATGAAATCACCGATTCTCCAGAAATCCAAAATAGAAAACCAAACTAGATAGAAATTCTTTTACCTTACTAAGCCAAATAAACGGTGCATTCTAACCCCGAATTCGACTGGATTGCGGTTTTCAGGTCCATAGCTTGAAATGATTTACATTAGATTTACATTAGTGACATGTCTCCGTTTTTCTGTGATAGTAGTGTGGATTCAATGAATGACAACTCTAAACTGTTGCTGCATTACTAAAAATAATGTATCGTAAAAGTTTCGGTCTTCGTTAAATATCTTTCAATCTCACTGACGGCTGTTAACGCGATTTTGCCTATCTTCGAGAGATAATGCTTGCATCAAACTATATTGGTACAGATGATACCGAACATATCATTCAATGCTTGGAGCCGTAAGGGCTGGCTTGGAGACATGCACTTCTGAAAAACAATTTTCTTCTCTGAAACAAATAAATTCTCGGCAATTATTTTTTCTCAGTGTATACTCAAATTCATGTCGACTTGAGACGTTTCTCCTTGAAATAATCAACTTTTTTATTCCATTCCAAGTCTCGCGTCCGGATTGATGAAGTTCGAATTATGCAACTTGAAATAGGTCGAATATCCACTACAATTAAGTTGACGTCAGATTGAATCAGTCCGTTTCTTTTTACAAGTAGAAAATCAAATAGTAATAGTAGATTGTTATATAAGGGCGATAAGTGGCTGGTTATGTACGAGTGTGAAGTTATGACATGAGTCATAACCTGCCACTCATCACCCGAATATCACATACTATTTTTTGTCAAGGCTAGAGTCAAAAAGTGCGACCGCGAGGGGGGAGGGGCGGGTGGGGGCCCAGGAGGGGGGTCCAGGGGGGCAAAGCCCCCTAGTTGGAGGGGGGTGGGGGGCGATGCCCCTCCCCACTGAAGAAAAACTAAACTATTCAAAAAAAAAAAATATCTGGATGATAGTTGGCTAAAACAGACCGTCTTCAATCGACAATATCTCCTGAACAAATCATACGATTTGAACAAATCAGGTTTCATTTTGAAGCTCGAAAAATACCTTCACAGTGAAAAAAATCGGAAAATTTCACTCTGCCGTTCTCGAGTTATTGACGATTAAAGACGATCCACCTTACAGCAGTCTTCTCTATGTTATGCCCCAGATTTTGTCAATTGCGTTATTGGTTAATATGTGGACAACATTTGATGGCAGCGGTGTTCGGCTACAATAATAGGTATTAAAATTTTCACGTCGACGTACTGAGTGACGGTCGCATTAAATTCTGAAATCTACGTACGGAGCGACGTAGTATTGAAACCAAGTCTACGTAGGGAACGACGTTGCATTTTTTTCGGGTGTCGCTGACCAACGGTGCAGTGGTCAGGGAACACGTGTCAGCAAATAGCTGAGCGGCCGATGGACTTCGGATTGCAGGATTTCAGTGGGTCAACTTGAGGATACCATTGATATACCTGGGCTACTCGGAGAAGTGAGCATTCAACGAACTACTTGGAGGAGTAAATATCGCGGCTACTTGGAGGAGTAAGCATTGAACAAGCTACTTGGATTAGTAGGTAATATTGCAGGTTTTAGGTGGGTCATTGTAACGTGACTCGGGGATACCTGGGCTACTTGGAGGAGTGGATAGTAAATAACGGCAAAGGCAAATGCGTTTTGAGGATAGATCTGGACACGTAAGTCGAGATAATTTTCCATTACGTAGATCAAACTCGCTGGACTCAGTGGTGCCAGGAGCCGGAGAGGAACTTGCGGGAATATTGCAAGAAGTTACCTTCAGAGCAAGGCGGAATTAGACAGATCGGGGTTGGTCTGGGGGAAATATACCACGAGTAAGGCAGTAATGGATGGCAGATGCACTTGGTGATTTTGGAGTGAATCTGCGGAGACATTATTCATTTAATTCGGACGATAGTTTATCCGACGTAGATATGAATTCACCTCACGGTTTAAGAGATGCCGTCAGTGCTGAGATGGAACGTATGCGGAGAAATTTCGAAAGACGACACGGAGGCAATGACCAAGGCGAGAATTTGGGAGCTGTGAATGGATTAGCGAACAATGTACCACCTGAAAGACCAAGGAGACGTCATGATCAGTTAAGGAGAGACTACGAGGATTTAGTCGCGCGACACAATAGGTTGTTAGAGCAATTCAATGCAACACTAGATGGTTCGGAAGAAATGCGAGAAATCATCAACCGACGAAACGAAGAAATTGGTGCAGCGCGTGCAGCGGAACAAGTTGCAGAAGCGAAAGCCAGAGCATCAGAAGCAAGAGCTGCTGAAGCGAGAGCTGAAGCAGCAGAAGAAACAGCGAAACGAGCTGAAAGAGGGCAAGACCGGGCCTGGCTACGGAATCGGCGACGTACTAATTTTGGTGAAGATGATTACAACATCGACGTTACTTTAAAAATTATCAAGGAGTTTGACGGTAACGACCCAACAAAACTGGAGGGGATTTTGCGAAATTGCAAGTTGGTATTTTCCCGTGTACGAGAACGAGATCATCCATATGTATTGGAACTGATTTTAACCAATAAATTGACGGATCGTGCTATGTGGGACACGAAATACAAGTAAATCCAAACAATGGAGCAATTGGAGACAGAGTTGGAGGCTCTGTATGGTACGAAAAAATCCATAGATTCGTTACAAATGGAGTTATCCATTTTGAGACAACGAGAAGGAGAATCTGTAAGCTGCTATGGTTCAAGGACTAAGAGTATTACAGCGGAATTAGTGGACGAGTTATCGAAAACCAAGGAGACACTAGCTGAGAAACGAACGGTGGAGGATGCTATTAGACAGCTTGCAAAAGCAAGTTTCGAGACTGGATTGCGTGGACAGCTACAGGTGCTTGTAAGGGCCAGGGCTTTCAAAACACTGCATGAATCAGTCATTAGAGCTATTAATTTAGCTAAAACATTGAATTTGCAATCAGGAAAGCCAAGAATTTTTGATGAGCAGAGGGTAGAGAAAACTTGTTACAGGTGCAACTTGGCTGGTGATTTTTCAAGAGACTGTCCCACTCGCGAGGGTTCTACAAGGCTCTCCTCGAGGAGAGGGGAAGAGAACATCGGTAATGCAGTTTGGAGCTGTTTGCAAATACTGCAAATATTCGAGTCACGAGGCAGTGGATTGCCATAAGCTGAGAAACAAACTGGGACTGTCAGACGATCAGGCGATTCTTGTGGGAAAGAAAGAATCAGGCACTGCGAAACCATGTAATTTTGCAGGAACTAATGAGAGCTTCAAACTGCCAGTAGGAGCATTCCAGATTTGTTGAAAATTTGTTCTTATTAGTGAATTGATTTAGAGGGAGAAATTCAATTTCAATTGTTAAAATTTTGTTATCATTGATAACAAATTTTTTATTTTAAAAGGGGAGGAATGTTACCCCCCAGATTTGGTCAATTGCGTTATTGTTTAATATGTGGACATACAGCATTGTCAGCGTGACACTTGCCAGCGTAACTGGATTAAACTGACCACGTGATGAAATGTAAACAATCAATGTATTATTTAAGAGACGGTTGGGTCTGCACAGAACAGACCTGAATTGGACTCCGACGCGTACAAAAGTCGTAAACTCTTTGTAATCAGTCAGATGACACAGTAATTATAATCATGTAATAAATTCTCATATTTAAATACCGATAAACCATTGGTGGGATTTATCCCTTTAAGCCTAGAACCTACTATAATTATAAGTACCCCCCATGCTGGGTACAACACCTATATAAATAAAAATGAAATTATCAACAAAATGGCATGTATGAAAAAATTCAATAGAAACATCTAGCGCATTCGTTAGCTAATTCTATTAGATTTTTATAGGAAATTCTATCAGTTTTTCGCCGATTCTATTGAAAAATTCGGCAGCTTTTCTGTGCAGTTTTTAAATATAAATGTTGAATCGAAAATATTGTGTAGAAAAAAATCAATAGATTTTGATCTTTTTTTATATAACTTATTCTCCGAGACCGTTTCTATATAAATCTCTGAGCTGAAATTTCCCAATTTTTTTGCTTGAACTTTCCAACGAAAAGAAAAGAAATCCAGTAAAAAAAAAATAGAAAATTTATGCCGAAGAATTCCTGAGGAAAATATCTCAATGGAATATACTTCACGGAAAGAACAAAATCTATTGATTTTTTCTATAAAATATTCTCGATTGAACATTTCAATCTATCTATTAAAAAACGCGCAGAAAAGCACTGGAATTCTTGAATAGAAGCGCCGAAAAACTAATAGAATTTTCCAGCTAATATGCACTAGGTTTTTCAATAATTCTTTTTCGTACATGAAACATTTATGAATGGGAAATTTGACGTCGCATTTTCCTGGAATTTCAAACATCGATAAATTCCTTATCTAAAACGAAATTGAAATGACGTTAGAGGCTATCATACCCTAGGTGGTATGATAGTCTNCGAATGATGAGCCCGACGGATGATCATGTCGGTAACCGGATGTTTACTAGCCAACAGGATTGGGTGTTTCTGGTTGTATGATAGTTCGGACTTCTTGAGCCGACCGCCCACACGAAGCAGTCCCTTGTCGTCTACAAAGGGATGCAATTGATCGAACGAGGTTCCCTTTGCTGATGAACGAGTTGAGTTCGTCGAAGATTGATTAATTGTGAGCCTTCGTACTTCAACAGAGAAACGCTCACGCTGAACCATCATGACGATTTGATGTTCAGCCTCGTCAAGTTCTTTGACAGTGAGTGGACGATTCCGAGGGGTTTGTGGATACTTCCATCGCCGGATGTACGCAACGACTCTTACAAATCGTTCAAAATCAGAGAACTGAGAATACAGAGAGTCACATGAAGTGGTAGTGATCAGGCAGAGATTCCTTTTCAGTCCTTGCACTAGAACTGCGGAAGGTACGATGGATTGCGGCCATTCCGGTTCTTCGAGAATTAACCATCTAGGACCTGAAGACCAGAGAGAGTTATTGACAAATTCAGACGGTNAGGTGGCCGTTGCACCACCTCCGATACGGTTTTAGATGAAATGGCCGTTCGCCACTTCAAAAAAGGGGTGTAGAGGAAGCGGCACGTTANCCGGACATGTCTCCAACTAACTTGATCACCTAAAGTTTGAATATCTGCCACTCTGTTTGATTCGAAAGTTCTCAGAAGATGAGGAGCGTTCTTAAGCCAACAAAGAACGATGGTGGAGTCAGACCATAAGTATGCCTGATCGATGGGGAAGTCGAACTGAGCCGTAGTTTCCACATATAATTTTTTGAGGATGGTCGCTGTGCAAAGTTCCAATCTAGGGATTGTAACTCCGCTCAACGGTGCTACATGAGATTTACTGCAGATCAGTCTGATCAAAACCTCACCTTGANAGCGTCGGTCTGACTGTTACACGTGGTGCAACAGACTAGGTTGGGTTAGCGTCGGTTGGGCACTTCCCCGTNCATATCCGTGACTGGAGGCGTCACAAAATCCATGGATTTCGATGCGAGAGGGATTTTCGATTAAAATCTGTCGAGGAACCGAGACTTCACGTATTTTTGGCAACTGGAGTGCTAGCGACGTCCATTTTGTGTGGATATCTTGAGGAAGAGACTCATCCCATGTAATTTTTGCCTTCCAGCAGTCTTGAATTAAGACTTTGGCGAATAAAGTCGNTGCCGTCACTCCCAGGAAACACTTCGATGATCACGCCCAGCGGCCATCGTGCACAAGCGACAGCGTCGTCCATGAGGAGAACCACTGAACCGAGTTTCAGTTCAGCAGTAGACGTAAGCCATTTTTGGCGAGTTTGGAGTTCATGTAGATATTCCTTGTGCCATTTATTCCAAAAGTCCTGTTTGGCCTTGGTGATGAAGTTATAAGTGGACAGGCGATTATCTGAAACTGACGAGAACGATTTTTCGGGTAAGGCACTGAATGGTCGGCCTATCAACAGGTGGGCTGGAGTGATAGCCAAGGGATCATTGGGATCAGCCGAAAGACNGGATCAATTTGAGTCAAAGTGTACTGCAACAGATCACCTTGGGCATCCCACATGACACCCAAAGTCCTCTGGACTGGATCATCTTTGATCAAGCAATCCAAATCAAAGAACCTTTTATCAATCTTATCCAAAGCTGAATGATGATTGGATGACCATTGGCGGATGACGAAACCGCCGCGAGAGAGCNCTAAGAGTCCTAGAGGATCGAAGATCTTTGATACTTCTGAGAGGAGTTTACGTTTGGTTGCAACAACGTTAGGATCAACTTGAGTCAAAGTGTACTGCAACAGATCACCTTGGGCATCCCATATGATACCCAAAGTCTTCTGGACTGGATCATCTTTGATCAAGCAATCCAAATCAAAGAACCTTTTATCAATCTTATCCAAAGCTGAACGATGATTGGATGACCATTGGCGGATGACGAAACCGCCGCGAGAGAGCAATGCGATCATCTCATCTCTAATGGTTATAAGTTCGTCTAGAGAATCTGCTCCGGAGATGAAATCGTCAACATAAAAATCACGAAGTAGAAGTTTACTGGCACGTGGGAAGTTCTGTGCCTCATCACGCGCAAGTTGTTGTATGGTACGAATCGCTAAGAACGGAGCAGCGGCTGTACCAAACGTCACTGTGTTGAGTTGAAAAGTTCTGAGTTTGCCTTGGTAAGGCCACAGAACCCTTTGAAATTGTCTGTCGTCAGGATGAATTAGAATCCGGCGGTACATTTTCTCAATGTCCGCTATGATGACGTAGCGATGAGTGCGAAACCGAAGGACTTGTTCGAAGATAGTATTTTGGATTGTGGGGCCGACCAGAAGAGTATCATTAAGCGAGATGCCTGTAGACGTTTTAGCTGAGGCATCGAATACTACACGAACCTTGGTAGTTTCACTGGACTCCTTGATAACGGCGTGATGAGGAAGGTAATAGCCACCTTCAATCTCATCGCAAAGAGTCATATGACCAAGGGAGATGTACTCCTCCATCACTCTGGTGTATTCAGATTTCAATGAAGGATTTGATGAAAGTTTTCGATCCAAGGAAGAAAAACGTTTGAGCGCTTGCGAACGAGATTCGCCAAGATTGAATTTTGAATCTCTGAATGGAAGACGAACTATGTACCTACCAGTAACATCTCGTTTGGTATGTGGAACATAGTGTTGTTCACAAGAAATTTCGTCACGAGATCGAACGGGTTCGTGATCGAAGTCTTCGATAATCCAGAAACGCTCGATGAGCTTATCTAATTTGACGACGTTGCAAGGAGAGGTTGTTGAGGCCGATAAGAGTTCAGAGCCTCCAGCAACGATCCATCCTAACCGAGTCTTCTGTAAGACAATGGTAAAATCTCCATGAGACAATTTGATTTGTCCAATGGACAAAACTGACAACATGGTGTTGGAGGCTAACAAAAGATCGATTGATCTTGGCAGATGAAATTGAGGATCCGCGAGTTGAAGATTCTTCGGAATGTCGAACTGATGTCGAGGGAAAACGTCACTAGGTACGACATCAGCCATCTTGGGAACAATCAAAGTTTGATTGTTGTTCAAAGTTATTGTAACTTGAATGAAGAGTCACCTGAACAAATTGGTTCGAAACAGTGCACAGACCGTCCACTGCTCCAATGTTTACCGAGNAACACCTCTGCGGCCGGTGAACCTGGGAAAGGCTGCCAAAAATCCTTGTGAGGAAAGATCAGTCGCTAATTCAATGTGAACAGCCTTAGAGACCATACACACGAATACACATCCGTACGACTTGAGAAACGATCTGTTACGATCTTTCTTCTCTTTGATGAGGATTGAACCAAAAAAATCAACACCTGTCCGCGAGAAAGCGGGTGCTTCGTTCACTCGAGATCTAGGCAAATCTGCCATCTGAGCATGAACTACCGTCNCGCTTGTGTTCAGTCTTGACAACCGCCGTTGTCATCAACTGTGAATCCGAAGGGAAGGCGACGGATGTGTACGTCTGATTGCTGACTGCTGACAGATGCTACGCCATCCTGCTCCTCATGCAGGAGTGTGTGGTGTTCGCCTTTGCACCTTTTGCAGACCTGACCACTCCTGCAAGGGTATGGATGGGCCCACAGACAATTTTTGCATGCTTTGATGCTTTTAATGAACTTCCAACGATCCTGGACACTGAGATCGTTGAAGGTTGGGCACATGTACAATCGATGAGCTTTACTGCATTTGGGGCAGCTCATCGACGAGGATTTATAAGAGGATGAATCCGATTTGGAAGACGTGACGAATGTCTGGGGAGTCTTCCTTGAGAATTTGTTGGCCGATTGAGGGAGACTTTCTCCTGGCCTTTTCTTTGGGTTGGGGTTGCGATTGGACATCGTTGCGGAGTCGAGAGCTTGCTGCTTGAAGATAGCAGTCTGGATGAATTTGAACAGATCGTCCAACTTTGGCACTTCATCCATGTTAAGCTTGTCTTGCCATCGACTTCTCAGTGTCTGGGGCAGACAACGTTCGATGATGCGAACGAGTAAGTTTTCTCCAGGTGGAACACCGATTCCCTCCAGGATGTGAAGGTGCTGACGAGCCTTATCCAGAAGTGAGGATAGGTCATCAGCTGATACCTTGGTGAGCTGAGGGAGGTCGATTAGAGCATTCAAGTGTTCTACGGCCACAATGCGCTTGTAGTCGTAGAATTCCAGGAGAGATTTCCAAGCTTTCGAATAATCTTGGTCACTGGGATCATATTGGCTGATTTTAGCCGAAGCTGGCCCAGTGAGAGAGTCAAAAAGTTGACTGCATTTCACTGCGTCAGAAATGTCGGTCCGAGAATGAACGAGAGCGATCAACTTATTTTTGTACGTCGCCCAATTTTCTTGTTTTCCATCGAACACGGGGATCTTTATTTTAGGGAGCTTTGGCAGTTCTTGCCGCTCCGTGAGAGTGATGTTATTCGGATTCAAGGTCGAGTTGAATACCGAATCCCTTTGTTGGAGTTTGGAAATGGCGCCGGCTGCCTGGTAGTATCTAGATTCGGTCTCTAGAAAACTCCCTGCCAGGCAATTGCCGCTTTGAAGTGAGTTTAATTCCTCATAGTACTTCATCGAAGTATCGAACAATGTCGACATTTTCTCCGCGCGTATCTTTGCGTTTGCGGGATCGACATGTGTACTCTCGAGGTATTGCTCCAGCCTCCCCAACTGGAGATCGAAGAAATTCAATTTCTGTTCGAGGTACGCGACGCGTCTTTTCTCCTCTGAAGAGAGACTCATTTTTATGGAAAAAATGAGACTCAAAGGATATCGACAAATTACGATACGATGGGGTAACGGCTCGATGAACTAGTTTGCCGATCAAATGAAAGAACCGATTAAATCCACGTAGATCACGTTCGATTTAAATAAACTTCGATAAATCAGCGAAAATCTCGTAAACTAGGGCCGTAAACGAGAAAAAGGAAACGATCTATCAAATTGGTTAAACAACCGATGAATAACTATAATGAAAATCAAACGAGAGAGAAAACAAAAAATAATAACTATATAAGAATAGTCAAATGACTGGATTCAATGTAACAAAAAAGAAAAAGAAAATTCAAGAAGATGAATATCTAAAAATAATTGAATGAAGTTAATTAAATGTGCAAAGAAATAGAGATAGATAAATGTATGAACTTATCTTTGCACGTCTCACGATGTTGAACCAGCTGAGCGGTGAAGGTTCCTGGAATGGGAGTGACGATGACGATGAAACGATAAGACGTCAGATTTGAAGACTCGTCGACGAAGTTTTGGATAGTTTTTAATTTTTAAACTGTTTTTAATAACGTTTTTGTCCACTTTGAACACTCTTTCACACGCGTCACTCGCAGTTTTGATTAGAGGGTAAAATTCAAACCTCACAGGAGGCACCATGAAATGACGTTACAGGCTATCGTACCCTAGGTGGTATGATAGTCGAATTAAAAATCGCGAAGAATCGATTTAAAACAAACACAAAAAAAGGATTAAATAATTCAAACACAGAATTGGATGGGAAAAAGCCGTTACGGCATAGAAAAATCCAGATTTATTGATTATAATGTAATAGATCGATTACAACTGCGAATGACACTTGTTTTCCATGCACATACACATACACTACTACACTGCAATGTCTGTCCTAAGAACACGACGATGTGAACTGTCGGACGCAGCTATAGATATGTAGACACACACACACACACGCACGCGTGCCGATAATGCGAAGGATGGGTTATGGAATCACACGTTGTGTGATTCCGAGACGATATTCTTCGTAATTAAATTACGACGATATGAGGTGGCCGTTGCACCACCTCCGATACGGTTTTAGATGAAGTGGCCGTCCGCCACTTCAAAAAAGGGGTGTAGAGGAAGCGGCACGTTGCACCACTTCCAATACGATTGGCGTTGCACTACACTGTTAATCCGATTGATTCGTACAAATTTCGCCAGGGGACTATATAAGATTGAGGAGACTTATTTTTGAGATGTTTTGGATTGACAAATTCACACTTTTAATTACTAGTGACACTGATTTTACACAAAAGATGGATTAGAAACTTGAGTGCTCGAGTAGCGTCGGTCTGACTGTTACACGTGGTGCAACAGACTAGGTTGGGTTAGCGTCGGTTGGGCGCTTCCCCGCGAGAAACCAGCGAGTCGAGAGGAGGAAGAACTCACAGCGGTGGCGCGGTGAACTAGATAGAAACTAGCATTCAGCCCGCGCGAAGATTTGAACGAGTTACAATGTAACAGAAATAATATGTCCTCTCAGAGAAAATGTAAATAACTAGAATATAATGTCTATAGACATTATACTCTAAATATTCGTTATACAGGAGAGAAAAATTTTGTATTCTGGAAACGTCAACCGGCCACTTGAGGTTATTGCAGGCAACTTCATGTGGCGCTGGTATCGCTGACTAATTGCTCCAAACGTCACTTATCGCACTGTTCAGTTACTTATGACCCTAGGTCATAATAGGCTACTTATCACACGCCAAACACAAAAATCGGTTTGAATCAAACCAAAAAATCGGTGTGAATCAACCCGAAGAATCGGCTTGAATCAAACAGAAAAACAGAGTGATTCACGCCGAAATTCTGCCTGTTTCAGGTAGTAGATAGCGACTTGATTTTTTTTTCAATTTTACAGGCTCCGAGTCCCTTTTCGGATGCCATTCGGCACTATGCATGCGGCTGCGGATCGAGATACGCGGTAGCGTATCGGCCAAGAAAATTTTTGAAACTCGCAGCTTGCTACCGGGTATCTATACACGAAGCAACTACCTCCTCCATTACCTCCGAAACACATTTATTGAATAAAATGAAAACGTGATAACCTACGAAAAAAATAGCCTTAGTTACATCACATAAATCGGCCACGAGTTTTCCAGTGATGTCACTATTTTCTTTTTCGACTGAATATCAAGGAAATTATGCGCATAGCAACGGAATCTTATCCACATTCTCGCATCTCACATTATCTCTGAGCACTAAGTGTGAGATTTAGTTTTTGAAGTTGGTAGCAGTGCGCTCCAACCTCACGCGCGGAGGAGGGAGATTTGAAGAGGGCATTACCTTTTCTCTCTCCTTTTTGAATTTTACTGATTTGCATTTTTTAGACTCATCATCGACTTATTGTGAAAATTAATGAAAAATTGATGAACAAAGTCATGTAGCGCTGTATATTGCATGGAAATTTTTCCCCTATCCTCGATTAATTTAGATTCTCGACTCAGTCCGTGAATAAAATGTGGGCGAGTTTATTTCTGAGGTTAGTCCACGCGGGTAATTTGAACGTTTGATTTTCCCATGAAATTCTCAAATCCAATCGGAGCATGAATTATAAGTAAATGTAGGAAAGATATACCTTTTTTTCGTAGAGCAAAAGTGATTGAAGATAGTTTCTGTTCCGCGGAAAAAAATAAATTCGATTCATACGAAAATGATCATGTGCTCGTTTTGGAAAAATGACTGAAATCTCTAAAAAAAAAAACAAATGTTTTTGCAAAAAACTGCGCCAAGAAAAAATTTTGTGGGGTCGTTTCTGAAAAGGACAAACACTTTTTTTCTGGAAACCACAATTCCCATAGAAATTTTGCAAAAAATTAAAAAATAAAAATCAAAGCCAAGTCAAGAAATGTCCAATGGATCATGGAGTGTGCTATCAGATTATTGTGGGGCGGATAACTCTGAATAGAAGGATTTTCAAAAAAATATTCATGAAATACAAAATTTAGTAGAGACAGGATTGAAAGTTCTTGGCGCGGAGTTTTCTAACTCATTGTCTCGTATCAATCTGTATCTTCTGATCCGCGCCAAGAACTTTGAGTCCTGTCTCTACTGAATTTTGTATTTCATGAAGATTTTTTTGAAAATCCTTCTATTCAGAGCTATCCTCCCCACAATAATCTGATAGCACACTCCATGATCCATTGGACATTTCTTGCCTTGGCTTTGATTTTTATTTCTTTATTTTTTTCAAAATTTCTACGGAAATTGTGGTTTCCAGAAAAAAGTGTTTCTCCTTTCCAGAAACAAGCCTACAAAACTTTTTCTTGGTGCATTTTTTTGAAAATTCTACACTGTACCGCATTCGCACTTCTATAAAACATAGAAGTAGCATGGAGAAATCGCAGAAAACCCATGCCGGTACACGCGGTTCCTCTATTAGCAACGTCCCGCTCGCCGGACCCTTCCGTTGAAAAATTCGGTTCCACGGGGAATCGAACTCACAACCTTTCGCACACTAGACTTGCGTCTAATCCACTCGGCCACCGATGTCGGTATAGTGACTTGATTCTAGTCGATTTTTCTGTTTGATTCAAGTCGATTTTTCGGTTTGGTTCACACGGAGAAAAAAAGTGGATCAGCTTTAGAAACAAGTTTCTAAATTTTAGAAACGGTGATTTCTAATGTGCAGGTTTCTAAAATCTAGAAAATTTTTTCCAAGTTTTAGAAAAAAATCGTTTGAAATTAATAATCAAAATTGGGATTAATTTTAACCTAAAATATACTTAATTTAAAAAAAAATATTTTCTAAAATCTAGAAAATTTTTATTCTGCAAAAAGGGTCGTAGCGATATCCGAGGGGGGCTTGTAAAGAGGTTTTGCAGGGGTGTTTTATGAAAGGGTGAGTTATCGTTAGGGTTTTTCAAAAATATCTTCGAAACTAAGGGAGATAGAATTTCAAAAATTTCAAAAATTTCAAAAATTTCAAAAATTTCAAAAATTTCAGAAATTTCAGAAATTTCAAAAATTTCAAAAATTTCAAAAATTTCAAAGGTTTCAAAAATTTCAAAAATTTCAAAAATTTCAAAAATTTCGAAAATTTCAAATATTTTGAAAATTTTCAAAATTTCCAAAATTTCAAAAATTTCAAAAATTACAGAAATTTCAGGAATTTCAAAAATTTCAAAAATTTCAAAAATTTCAAAATTTTGCGAAGCTGCTTATATGTATTTCGCATTATTTCAATCGATTGTATTCGAGCTCGCCTGAGCAGCCGAATACCTTATTACGTCACCTCGCGACAATTGGCAATAATTCGGACATCCTCGATCGGAGGATAAATACCGTCTTCGCAGGAGTACACTCTCGGTTCAGCTCTCATGGTGTAAACCAAAGTTTCCTTTGCTGTTAGTAAATTCTAATACAATATATAATAATTCCAAGTGTTATACCTTATAAAACCCTTTGATCCTTACCGAATATCCCACAAATGGTGACCCCGACGTGATTCCTTCAACGTGAGAAATAAAATTGCCGCGTTAAAGTGTTAACAAGTGCAATCGTTTTCCGTTAAAATTACAGTGATTTTCGGTCGCGTGGTTTTTCGTGGATTGTTCGAGAAGCGTTGGGTTTTGGCATTATAGTTTTCGGTAGCGTTTCTATCGTTTCGCGCGCCGTGTTACCACGTGTGATTTTTTTGTGCATCTTGGTGCATCGCTGAGCACTAGCTAGGCCCAGGGATCTGGATGATCCATTTTTGCCCCGCCCATGCCTAGAATCGATGGTTGATCATATGGAGAAATCGTATGAATTTTTTCAGATTTTTAGAACAATTACAGTAGACAGCAATGAGTTTTGTAAATTCTTATGGAATTATCTCTATGGAAAAGTGAGTGAAGTTAATATTTGCCATTTGATTACTAAATTATTCATATTATCATTGATAGGTGTCTAAAACCTGTTCCGAGGGAGGTAAACAATAGTGGAACTCTATCTTGTTTTCTTTCAATCAATTT